CACACTTGAGTCCATTGATGTTGCCACATTGCCTATTCAGCTCACTGGGGGTCTTCCTCTTTTTCTCTGACCCTTCACCTTACCAAACATGGTATCCTTCTCCAGTGACTGGTCCCTCCTGACAATATGTTGGAAGTGTGATAAACAAAGTTTGGCCATCCTGGCCTCCAAGGAGCACTCTGGCTGCACTTCTTCCAACACAGATCTGTTGGTTCTATGGTAGGTTAACAAACACTTAATTTTCTTTATTTGCAGATGTTCCCTGATTTTTCTCCATGGGTCTCTTTTCTATTTCATAGAAAAGGGAAAACTTTGTTGCTAAGTGTCTTCCAGTATAGTGTTTCTGAGGCCATAAATCTTTGCAGGAACAGAAAAACCTTTTCTTTTTCTCACAAAGTGCCTGGTGGGCTTAAACCACCAACCTTGTGGTTCATCGTCCAACTCTTATCCTACCGGGCCACCATGCTCCAATGTATGCTGATGATATTTATAATGTCAACAGATAAATCCCATATTATCTCAGACGTGGAATAGTCAGGCTTAGTTTTAAGAGTTGGTAGATTTTCAGAAAGGTTTTATCTCTAATAGCAAATATATTTTGACTCACTTCCAGTGTTCATAAAAGAAAATGCAGATGCTCTGAAGGGAGGTACATGGAAACACTTAGTTCTGATAACCCCAAACATGGGTTCTTCTTTCTCACCTGGTATAGCTCCAGTTCCAGTAAAGCCAGTCCCTTGTGTGGATTCTGTGACCTCTGGAGGAAGAAGTAAGAGAATGGTGAGGTCTGTGAATTTGGAATACAGGGGGAAAATAATGGGAATGTGATCATATAACATCCCCAAAAGAGATACCATGACATCTGCAAATAAAGAAAAGTTAGTATTTGTTAACCTACCTGTGTTAGCATTTCCAGATGTAATGGTTGTTCTAGAGAATCCTCCAGTGGTACCTAAAATGTAAGAAGTGAGTGGTGGAACATTACTTCTATTAGCTGTGAAGGTATCAGTGTGATCCTAAAGTGTTAGAGGCTCTTCCTGGAGACATCAATCTCTGAAGCAAATGGAAAACAATCAGCTTTTTAGCATTCTATTTCTCAGAACAAGCTTGGATGGATCCATTGCTATTGGGTTTCCCTTTCACTATGTAGTAAAGAGATTGTTAAATCGGTTCTGACTCATTGCGATCTTGTATCGGGTTTTCAAGGAATGACTGGTGGGTTTGAAGTGCTGCTGACCTTGTGGGTTAGCAGCCCAGTGCCACACCAGAACTCCAGCAAGGTTTTAAATCACCCTTACCTGTCTCATCTCCAGGAACTCGTCCCCCTGGTGTCCCAGAGGTGCCTAAGGGGAGGAACAAAGCAAATGATGTCTTTTATCTTTATAAGTATCACTCATTTGTTTAACTTGGGCATTTTGAGAATTTGTTTTCTTCAAGAAACAGTCCTTTTAACAAGGGGAGGCAAACAATAACCAAGGAACACCATATGTAAGTAAAGTAAAGTGATGATACAAAGGGATAAGCTATGGGGGTTGGAGGTAAGCTGGCTAAAGAGGATTGGAAATACTAAGAAACTGGAGAGGAAGCAGAATGAGCTCATTCCTTTTTGGAGGAGGAAAAAAAGGCTCAGTAAGCCAGGTTGTAGAGGTCAGCCTGGCTAAGTCATTTGGAGACATGGAATGATCAAAAAGAATAATTACCTTGGTTGACAATAACCTCATATTGTCCCTTCCTCGTACCCCTTTATAATCATTTGCTCACTGCAGCATCCCAACTAGAGAAACAAAAAACCCCAAAGCCTAGAATCAAAACAGTTCACCTCCTGGAAGTTCTTCCTGGGTGGTTCCACTGCCTCTTATGGAAGTTGTGGCTTCTGAGAGAGAAAATGAAGATGTAAAGACTGGGAGTGTGGACAAGGCAGTTTTAGATGACCAAAAATATAGTATACAAAGTATCACATGCAGGATTCCTGACCTGTTTTGGCATTTCCAGGTTCTAGAGTTTTTTCAGAGATGCTCTTAGTTGTACCTGAAATATGAGAGAGATTGTGGTCAGTTGGTTAATTCTTATGCAGTGGGTATTAAGCAGTTAAAAAAACAATACAATAACAAAATGAGTAGTTTCTTTAATATATTGGTGCATTGTACCTTAGGAGTTTCTAGTTTCAAGAGCTAACCCATATAGTTCCAATGACATATGTCATTCTCTTGGCAAATTTATAAACAACGTCCCCTACTACTGAGTCTCTCTTTTTAGGGTTTTGCTGCTGTTAAGTACCATTCAGTCAGTTTCTATTGATAGCAACCCTTTATAGGGTTTGCACATAGTGGCTGGTGGGTTTGAACTGCCAAAGTGATGGTTAGCAGCCCAGTGTTTATCCTATAGATGCTACACCAGGAACCCTTCTTAGGGTTTAGTTATAGAGATATACAATTTTGGCCCAGATAATATATGTAACTTTCAGCAAAGTGACCTCATGATTCATAAGGAGGATTTGCTGATGTCAATTATTGAACATATACTCAGTGTTTACCCAACATTTTAAATGTGGGAAAACCAAAAAGATTTATTTCTGGCAAGACATTTTATTAGGAAATTACTAGAATGTACAATAAATGCTTATTCCAATTCTTGTTGTTTCACTTTCTCCTAGGGAAATTGTAGCTTCTGAGAGAGAAGGAGATTAAGAAAGGGATGATAAGAAAATGTTACAGACAGTAGGAAACATCTGACAGTTCTCTTATTAGGGATCCCAGTGGAAGAGAACTAGCACAGATAGACTCATGGAAGATTCCATGCCAAATCTGTTGACTTACCTGTGCTGGAACTGCCAGGGGCACCAGTTGTGCCTGGGACTATCACAGTTGTGCCTGAAACACAATGAATCATATTTGCGTCCTAAAGAACTGCTCCTAGAAGGGGCCTGGGTATATCTTTGTTGAATTAAAGGCACCTTCCACTGCCTCCTGACCAGGTGAGAATCCTATGCCTTTTCTGTGACCCTTTTCATTCCAAAAGCAATTAAAAAAATAAGTCATGTTCTCAAGCAGAGATGCCTCCTGTGCCATCCCACTTGCTCTGTAACAAGGAAACCTGTTTTAGCTCCCATGTTCACCTGTCAAACTCCCAGTTCCTTGGTCTTCTGGTGCTACAGTAGTGCCTGCTGTGAAGTAGAAAACAATTCAAAAAAATATTTCAGTATGCTGAGAGCATGTGAAAATATTTAATATCAGTTTTGTCTTTAGTAAGAAAATCTTTATATAGAATAGCCTGCTTCCAGGATTCACCTTTTTTTCTCTCTTTCCCAGACATATGGTACTTTATGGCTCCCACTGACACCCTAGTGATGTGGATGATATCACTGGAGAAACCTGTCGTACCAATTACCATGATCACCCTGTCTTTAGAAAATTACAGCCAGACCCTGGCATTGACGACTACACTAGAAATGGGTTAAATCTAAGAGAATTCCTAAAGTAAGTACAAACTACTGTGCAGAAAAGCACATCTCCCCTATGGGGATTCATAATCCATGCTAAACCCAAACTGTGAGCTGCTCATGCTTACTTGGTCTGGATCCAATTCCTTCTGTTAATGTCGCTGCTGAAAGAAGAAAATGATACATGATGAGGTATAAAGATTTGGGACACTGGAGGAAGGCTTCTGGTTATATTTCATCTGAGTAGCCCTACAAACTATTATGTTGTTGTTGTTGTTAATTACCGTGGAGTCGGTTCTGACTCATAGTGACCCTGTACAGGGTTTCCAAGGCTGTAAATATTTACAGGTGCAGAAAGCTTTATCTTTCTCCCGCAGAACAGCTGGTAGTTTCGAACTGCTGACTGTGAGATTAGCAGCTCGATTCGTTACCACTACACTACCAGTCAGAGACATTAGAGGTCATGAAATTCATAGACAAACCAGTTTGTAACTGGGGCATTACAGGCTTTATTAAGGACAAGAAATAAGAAAATAATGCAATGATTGTTTTATCTGCAACAAAGCCATTTCCTGGGTGCACATGCAGATTCATGTATTCACTGAAACTACCCAAACAAAAATTTGATGTGAATCCCAGAGTCTCAGCCTGGCAAAGCTCACCTCCTGGCAGTTCTGTCTGGGTGGTTCCTCTGCCTTCTATGGAAGTTGTGGCCTCTGAGAGATCATATAAAGGAAGCGTTAAGTCCAGAATATGGGAAAGGACTTGCTGGTGCTACTGTCCAAATATATCTTCCAAGATGCCAATGTCTAGGATTTTCAATGTAAGTTTAGACTCACTTGTGCTGTGCCTTCCAGGTTCCAGCGTCTTTCCAGAGACTACATCAGTAGTGCCTAAACCACAAAGGGATGGTGGTCAATAGTTGAATTACTTGTTTGTCATTTAATTTAAATAAAATATCAATGCTTCTTCACTGTAGCAGAATACTATTACACTAAGATTTCTAATGTTAAAAAGTAATCCTTATATGTCCCGTGAAATACTTGTTTTCCACAGTAAATTTATTAAGTAAATTCTTAACTATCATCTCTCTTTCTTTAGGGTTTTGTTACAGGGAGACAGAAAAAAAATTTCTCTGTATGACCTATTTATGTGTCATTAGTTACGAATTCTGGTAGAATAAAGCTAGGAAGTGAGGAAGCAATGTAATGACTATTTTGTGTTGTTGCTGTTAAGTGTCATTAAGTCAGCTCTCAGAGTAATTCTGTGAAAGATTTCCAAGGAGCAACTAGTAGATTTGAACTGCAGGCCTTGCAGTTAAAGCTGACCTTTCAGTCCAGTGCTTATCCTACAACACCACATCAGATATGTATATATACTATAGACACATTTTTTAGAAGACTGTTTAAAGACATTTATTAGGAAGTGCAGGTTTTGGACTAACAGTACTCACCTGTGACTATTTTATCTCTTGTTTCACGTTCCTCTGGGAAAGTTGTAGCCTCTGAAGGAGAAAAAGAGATGAAATTATAAAAAGGACCATAGAGAATATTTGAAATTATTTGTACAAACAATAATACTAGATGAGACACTGAATTATGGGAGGACACATGGAAGATTCCATGTAAACCGGTTGACTTACTTGTGTTGGAACTGCCAGAGACAACAGTTGTGCCAGGAGCTACCCCAGTGGTGCCTAAAACACAGAAACGATAGGTATCACTGCAATGACCCAAGTATGTTTCCTGAAGACCTGTTTCTAGAAGGAATCTATTTGTATTTAGACCTTTGTTGTATCAAAGGGCCCTTGCTCTAGTTTGCTTTCCATCTATCATTATATTATCACAACAGAGAGGCCAATTCCTCAATTTGAAAAAAGTCACACTTTCTCCCTAAGTGGTTTGTTTTACTGCCAGAGACTTGGATTTCTGGTGCTACATTGCTCTTTACTATGATTGAAAGACAAAAATATTGTTTTCGTTTACTGAAAATTTTAGAGAGTGAAGAAATTGAGAAGGTTTGTATTATTTGGGCGGCACAGAAATATCTAAGCAGCATAGATATTTTTCTAAGGTTCATATAGAATTTAGACTTTCTTTACTTCTTAGGAATAACTTTTTTGTTCATATTGATGATACTCTGTTGTTGCTGAATGTCAACAAGTCGGTTCAGACTCATAGTGACCCTATATAGAGTTTTCCAAGGAGTGGCTGGTGACCTTGAACCACTGACCTTGCAGTGTTTATATGTAATGTCACAGGAGAAATTTCTCAGGACAATTATAACAACTGTGCCAATTAGAAGAGTTATGGTGGAGAGGCGTAATTCTGGTCTTGGTAGATCTTTAAGATGCTAAATCTAAAAAGGAAATCTATTTGGTCTCTGATGTATCATCCCTAAATAAACACACAATACTCTATGGAGAACCCACTTCTAAGCAGCTCAGCATAATGACAATCATTAATGGTGTCAATCCAAATCATGGGTTGTTCGCCCTTACCTCTTTTGGGTTCAGTCCCAGTACTTCCTCCTCTCCCTTCTGTGAAAGTTGTAGCTCCTGAAAGGAAAAAGAGGAGCATCATGAGGTTTGTGAATTACGTATACTGGTTAAAAAAAACAAAAACGAGGTGAGACTTTGTTGAAGCAGTTCAACAAAATTATCATACATCCAAGATGAAGAATTACCTGTATTGGAATTTCCAGATGTAATGGTTGTTCCAGAGAATTCACCAGAAGTATCTAAATTGAAAAGAAAAGGTGCTAGTATACAATATTGGAAGCACTGAAGATTTCTGCTTTATGAAGGGAACTTTTGGCCAACTTTTTAAATTAATGTTTTACTACTTGATTGTTAAGTACCGCGGAGTCGGTTCTGACTCATAGTGACCCTGTACAGAGTTTCCAAGGCTTTAATCTTTATGGGGACAGAACACCTCATCTTTCTCCTGCAAAACCTCTGGTAGTTTCGAACTACACTACACTACCAGAGCTACTTGCTATTTGATAGCAGTAGCCAAGTGCCTGTTAGAAAAGAAGACAGGCTTAATTTCACTTTACCTATTTTACTTCTGGGTGTCCTGGTGTGATGCTGTAGGATAAGCACTGTATGCTAACCATAAAGTCAGGGGTTCAAACTAAACCAGCCACTCTACAGAAACCCAATACAGAGTTGCTATGAATTGTAACCAACTTGAAGACATTTAACAAGATTTCACTTCTACTGACTTGGCACCTTAAGATGTTCTAGGAGTAGCTGAGGATCTTTGCAATGACCCAAGTATGTTTCCTGAAGACCTGTTTCTAGGAGGAATCTATTTTTATTTAGACCTTTGTTGTATCAAAGGGCCCTTGCTCTAGTTTTGCTTTTCATCAATCATTACATTATCACAACAGAGAGGCCAATTCCTCAACTTGAAGTAATATTCCTGGCACTCCATGATAGAGAAACAAACAAACAATCAATCAGATGATGGTCTTAATAATTCTAAATACTCTCATTGTATAACTTGTAATATTTTGATAAGATAATCAATGTCTAAATAGAGACATTTATGGGCCATTTACACCTTCCCCAGTAGTCCATCCTATCTGTTTTGGGATCTTGTGAACTGCTACTGACTTCAGATGAAACCACAGTGGTACATATTGAAGTAAATAAAGTGATGCTCAAAATAAGGATTTACCTGTCATTCAGCTTGTATTTAATGAGCATCTTCTCTACGTCTAATAGTCTAACAGTGAGTAGAATACAAAAATCTCTGTCCTTGCGTGAATTTACACTTGAGAGATAAATAGGTTAGATAGATGTTATCATGTGAAAAGGTACTTTGGAGAACCATGGTGAGCAGGGTGGGGAGAAGGAAGGGTATATGAGAGAGGCTTCTACAGTGCCACATGTGATGCTCAGTCAGGTACCCAATAACTATGAACGTCAAATAAGACACAGAGGAAAGTCTACCCTACAGTAGCAAATTCCTGGAAATCTTTAGCAGAACAACCTAGGATTGTCAGATTTGAAATATTGTGCTTCAGACAAAATGAAGTCCTTTTTATTTGGTCCATTGCCATAGATTGAATTATGCAATGTCCCTCCCACCCCCCGCAAATATGTGTTTCTGAATTGGCAGCACTACATAACTAAGACAGAAGTTGGTACAAGATTGGGATTCTGCTCTTGCAGATATGTAAATTGTGGCAGCAGTTTTGGAATTGGATACTGCACAGAGGGTGAAAGAATATTGTTGATGATATTGTTAAGTTCTATTGAGTTGGTTCCAACTCATGGCAACCCTGTATAGGGTTTCTGAGGAGTGACTGGTAAACATGAACCACCAACCTTATGATTCAAACTGACCTTGCAGTTCAGTGCATTAACCAGAAGCATCACACTGGGACTCTAAAAGATTATTAACGTGTGTAAAAGTAAAAACTTAAGATTCCCTTGAAGGAACTGTTGATGGCATTATGGACATCAGATGCAATCCTGGTGAGGGTTCCGGATGTGAAAAGAGATGGAATAATGGAGAGACAGCATAGACAATGAGAAGCAGTGACAAAGAAATGGCCACAACAGAAGCAGGAGACCGCTGCCAAGACAACTAGGAGCTGATCCACCAAGGGAGAGAGTTTATTAGCTTAGAAAAGGACTTAGGCTTGTTAACTGCGAGCCAACAGAAAGAGGAAGTATTTATCTAAAGCTGGCACTGTGAATTCAGACTTCTGGCCTTCTGAATCGTAAGAGAATAAATTTGTTTGTTAAAGTCATTCATTCATGCTAATCCTATTATAGCAACATTATAATACCTAAGACACCCCACCTTCACACATATTTTTTCACTAAAACAGAGAAGTAATGAAAACCCCAAAACCTTGGACTGACAAAACTCACCTCCTGGAAGTTCTGCCCCAGTAGTCCTGCTTCCTCCTGTTGAAGTTGTACGCTCTGAGGAGAGAAAGAAAGGAATTAAGTCAGGAATATAAGATTATATTACTTTTTGTTGTTGTTAAGTACCATGGAGTCGGTTCCTACTCAGTGACCTTGCACAGGGTTACTGAGGCTGTAAATCTTTACAGGAGCAGAACGCCTTATCTTTCTCCCATGCAACAGCTGGTACTTTTGAACTGCTGACCTTGAGGTTAGCTGCCTGATTCATATCCACTATGCAACCAGAGCTCCTTTATATTACCTTTGTTGTTGTTGTTGTTGTCGTTAGGTGCCATTGATTTAGTACTGACTCATAGCAACCTTATGCACAGCAGAATGAAACACTGCCCGATCCTGGGCCAACCTCACTACTGTTACCACGCTTGATTCCATCGATGCTGCCACTTGGCCAATCCATCTCATTCGGGGTCTTCCTCTTTTTCTCTGACCCTCCACCTTACCAAATATGATATCCTTCTCCAGTGACTGGTCCCTCCTGACAATATGTCCAAAGTATGAGAGACAAAGTTTGGCCATCCTGGCCTCCAAGGAGCACTCTGGCTGCACTTCTTTCAAAATGGATTTACTGGTTCTTTTGGCAGCCCATGGCACTTTCAATATCCTCCTCCAACACCATAATTCAAACACATCAGTTCTACATTCTTCCTTATTCACTGTCCAGCTTTCGCATGCATTGAAAATACCATGGCTTGGGTCAGGTACACCTAGTCCTCAAGCTGACATCTTTGCTCTTCAACATTTTCAAAAGGTCTTGTGCAGCAGATTTGCCTAATGCAATACCATCGTTTGATCTCTTGACTGCTGTTTTCTTGAGTGTTGATAGTTGATCCAATAAAAATGAAGCCCTTGACAACTTCAATCTTTTCTCCATTGATAAGAATGTTGTTTATTGGTACAGCGGTGAGGATTTTTGTTTTCTTTACATTGAGATATAATCCATACCGAAAGCTGTGCTCTTTGATCTTCATCAGTAAATGTTTTAAGTTCTCTTCACTTTCAGCAAGCAAGGTTGTATCACTGCAGGTTGTTAATGAGTCTTTCTCCAATCCTGATGCACGTTTTTCTTAATAGAACCCAGCTTCTCAGATTATTTGCTCATCATGTAGGTTGAATAAGTATGGTGAAAGAATACAACCTTGTCGCACACCTTTCTTAATTTTAAAACATTCAGTGTTCCCATGTTCTGTTGGAACAACTGCTTCTGGGTCCAGGTACAGATTCCTCATGAGCACGATTAAGTGTTCAGGAATACTCATACTTCGCAATGTTGTCCATAACTTGTCATTATCCACACAATCAAAAGCCTTTGTGTAATCAATGAAACACAGGTAAACATCTTTCTGATAGTCTCTGCTTTCAATCAAGATCCATCGGACATCAGCAATGATATCCCTCATTCCACGGCCTCTTCTGAATCCAGCTTGAACCTCTGGAAGTTCTCTGTCAATGTATGCTTGAAGCCGTTTCTGTATTATCTTTATTAAAACTATACTTCCATGGGATATCAATGATATTATCCAATGACTTCTGCATTTGGTTGAGTCACCTCTTTAGAACGGGCACAAATACGGATCTCATCCAACCAGTTGTCCAGATAGTTGTCGTCCAACTTATTACTGGCAGAGATGAGTGAGTGCCTCCTGTGCCGCCTCACTTTCTTGAAAGATTTCAATTTTTATCCCATCAATTCCTGGTGCCTTGCCCTTTGCCAATTCCTTCAATGCATCTTGGACTTCGTCCTTCACTATCATTGGCTCTTGATCATAAGCTACCTCCTGAAATGGTTGACCATCAACCATTTCCCTTTGGTACAGTGATTCTGTATATACCTTCTATCTTCTCTTGATGCTTTCTGCATCATTCAATAATTAGCCCACAGAATCTTTCAATAACAAAAGTTGAGGCTTGAAATTTTTCTTCAGTTCCCCCAGCTTGATAAATGCTGAGTGTGTTTGTTCTTCCTTTTTGGTTTTCTGATTACAGATCTTTGCACATTTTGTTGTAATATTTGGCTCTATCTTCTTGAGCTCATCTTTGAAATTTTCTGTTCAGTTCTTGTACCTCCTCATTTCTCCCATTTGCTTTAGTTATGTCTACACTGGAGAGCAAGTTTCAGTGTCTCTTTTGACCTTTTCCTTCTTTCTTGTCTTCTCAATGACCTTTTGCTTTCTTCATGTATGATGTTCTTGATGCTATCCCACAACTCTTCTGGTCTTTGGTCTTTAGTGTTTAATGTATCAAATCTGTTCTTCAGATGATCTCTAAATTCATGTGGGATATATTCAAAGTCATATTTTGGCTCTCGTGGATTTGTTTTCATTTTCTTCAGCTTTAGTTTGAATTTGCATATGAGTAATTAATGGTCTGTTCCACAGTCTGCCCATGGCCTTGTTTTGACTGAAGATATGGAGCTTTTCCATGGTCTCTTTCCACAGATGTAGTCAATTTGATTTCTATGTATTCCATCTGGTGAGGTCCATGTGTATAGTCATCACCACTTGTCTGTCAGTTTGTCATACTGTGGTGGCTTGTGAGTTGCCGTGATTTTGAAAGCTATGCCACCGGTACTTTAAATACCAGCAGAGTCACCCATGGTGAACAGGTTTCAGATGACAGACTAGGAAGAAGGAGTGACGAACTACTTCTGAATATTTAGTCGCTGAAAACTTTATAAATAGCAGAGATTATACTAGTGGTAGCTAAATATGGATGGTCATGGTTCAGACTTTTGTGACAACATGAGATGGGTACAGGTTTACAAGCAATAAGTGAATAAAGTGTATGTGTCTTTAGTATTTCTGTAAGCTAGGCCCTAATGCCAAAGGAAAATTCAGACATTCTTCAGGTTATATCTTTACTACAATAAATTACCCAGTAAATTTTTAATTACTGAGTTCCTTTGGTGTTCAATAATAGGGTGATAGGGGTTATTACTATAGATAATCTATATAACTGTCAGTCAAATTGACTGCATGATTGTTCAAGAGCCTGTTTAAAGTAATAAAAATGAGAATGAAATTGTGTGTTTCTGAATGTGAAGGAAGTTCCAACTCATAGCGATACTACATAGGGCTGCCAAGTCTGCACACCTTTACAGGAGCAAAAAAGCCTCATCTTTCTCCCGTGGAGTGGCCTGCAGATTTAAACTGCTGACCTTTTTAGTTAGCAGTGCAACTTATAACACACTCACTATACTACCAGTGCTCCATTGATAGATGAATTACTCTCTGAACTGCAAGGTCAGTGGTTCAAGCTCACCAGCTGCTTCTTGGAAATCCTAAACAGAGTCGCAACCGACTCGAGAGCACTTAACTATATACATACACACACACATGTATATATGATTTTAACTCTACCTGTATTGGTAATTCCTGTTTTAATGGATGTCTCTGAGACTGCTCCAGTGATACCTAGAACAAGAAACAATTAAACTAAACAATATGTCCCCACCTATCTTGGAAGTAGTAATGGCCTTACAGCACTTTCCTGGAAGTAGTAATGGCCTTACAGCACTTTCCTGAAGACTTAATGTTCCAAATGATAAATTGTGAATGTTCTTCTCTCATTTCATCCTACTGGCCCATTTATTCAAAGCCTTCTTCCAACTGAACATCCATCTCTCTACTCTAGCCTACTACTGACAGATGGACGGGGATTTCATTTCATGCTCATCTGTTTCACTTCCTGCTATCTGTCTCCCTGGTGTGTCCACTGAGGGAGAAAAAAGGAAGATACAAGCCTTTGTAAATATTAATCTCTGGGCATTTTTGTGGCTTATGTGGTTGTTTTCATAACATACTGAAAAATATCAACAAAATCTTATGGAAATAAGATCCTACTGTAGTAATTTTTTTTTTTTAATTAATTATTACCTGGGTTAGAAATTTCTGAACTGCCACTGACTTCAGGAGAAAGGATCGTGGTACCTGTAAGAAGAAATAATATGAACTTCCAAGCAGTGATACATTCATCTCTGTCTTCTGAGAACTATTTCTGAGACTGGGTCTGAATTCAATTATTTCCACAGGGATTAACAAGTAGATTTGCCTTTGTTTGTTAAATCCCAGAGGAGGTGTGGGCCCATTCCTAAGTCTACCTCCACGTTCTTCTGTTCTTTGTAGTCAATTCAATCAATGTGCCATTGGAACCCAGAGTCTTAGTATGACAACACTCACCTCCTGGCAGTTTTGTTCCAGGGGTCCTGCTGTCCCCTGTGGCAGTTGTGGCCTCTGCAGGTAAAAAGAAAACAAGGAGTGAAGTCAAAATCTACTTGGGTTCAGTGGAGAAACCTATCACCTCTCCAGGACCCCTTAGTGATTGGTGACTTACTTGTGTCAGAGCTTCCAGGTTTGAGGGTTTTGCCAGAGACACTACGAGTGGTACCTGAAATAAGAGATTGTGGTCATTATGCATGACATGAGAATTAGAATTGCCCGTTAAAATATTCTTATGCAAATATATTAGCAAGATCTTTCCTTGCATTTCCCAAATGTAAAATCCATATGTTTCTTTTCCACAACAAAATCCCTGACAAAAATTTTTTTTAACTCTTGACTTCTTTTTTTGTGTGCTAAGTCTCAGTAACAGGTAATAAATTTTCTCTGCATATATGTATCCATCTACTACTGACTAGGGCTCTTCAAGGACTTTTAATGAGACCCTTGAAGTAGAAAAAGATCTTCTCATTTTCTATCTAGTATTCATTTTTAAATAAAAGTTTAAGCGATGAGCATAAAACACCCTGCTTACATTTCAACTAATAGTATTAATTGTGAAATGATTGGAGAATATTGCTAATGGCTTGGTGGTGGTGGGCCAGGGAGTGGGTTCTGACTCCTAGTGAGATCTTTATGGGAGCTTTCTGCCTCATCTTTCTCCCACAGAATGGTTGGTAGTCTTGAACTCTGACCTTGAGGTTAGCAGCCCTACTCATAACCACTACACTACTAAAGCTCTTTTGGTAATGGCTTAGCAGTACTCAACTGGAGGTTATTCTACCTCCATTTCCTCCTAAGGAAGGTGTAGCCTCTCAAATGGAGGAAAGAGAGACACAGCTTGAAACGCTTGAAATATTTTGAAATTAGAGTGATAAACTTCTCTAGAAATAAAACCTGAGGAAACATTTTCTTTAAAGAAGTGTTAATGTGAAAATTCCACTCAGCTTATTTTCTCACTGTGTTAGAACTTCTAGGGGAAGGAGTAGTGACAAGGGCTACTCCAGTGGTACCTGAAACACAACAGGTCCTGTGTTCAGCACAGTGACCCATTCTGGCTTGAGAAAACCTGAATCCAGATGTAATCTTTTACTATAACAAAAGACTCTTTGGGCACCTTTGGCAGATGCATAATTCTGTGTTTCCCCCATTTGATTATGTCCTTCCCAAAACATTCAGAGAAACACTATTATCTCTTCAGACATCATTTTCTGGTAATCCCTGGGAAGAAACAAAGAAGATTTCCTCCCATGTCCACTAGATTTACTTGTAGTGCTTTAACTCTTCTGGACAAAAGATGGCTTTCATATGTTGACTGCTTGAGACAATGGGAACCTACTATGCATCACTATTGTTTGAGCAATAAAGTATTTATACAGAACAAGCATATTGATGGCTTCCTGGTGTATGTTTCTAGCACAAAGGAGGAGAACTTTTGTGGACTTCATCTGATATCTGCTGATGTTTGTAAGGCAACAGGCATAATCACATATGCTATAGTCATCTTGCCCTCAGAAAGTTATGGTTGGAAAATTGTACTGTTTGTATCTTATATTGACCTCGAGGCTCTCCCCGTACCACTACCAACTATAGTCTGAAAAGAGAAAAAGGACCACAGTGTGGAAGATTCAAGATTTGGGGAGGAAATGTGATGGAATGAGTGCAAAAATGTTACTGAGGCACCAGTGTGCAGGTATGTTTTTAACTTACCTGTATTGTATTTTCCAGGTTCCAGAGTTTGGCGAGAGGGCATGCCAGTAGTACCTGATGATAACAGAAAGGGATAATTATCATTATTTCAATTCTTGAATTACAATGAAAATGACTAAAAATAACTATGTGGGTTTTGTGGGTTTTTTTAAACTTTTGGTTGTGAAGTGAGTAAAGGTTTACAGGTAAGATCATCAGTTTTACATTCAATAAATCATACACTTGGCTTCATCTCAATGATTACAATCCCCTCCATGCAACTGCAGTTATCCATTTCCTCCCTGTGGTTCCTAGTTCCATTCCAGCCACCTTTCCATCCCTTCTCAGCATATCTCTTAGGTAAATGCTGCTCTTTTGATTTGTAATGATGGGCTATTCCATGCTGAGCATACCTTACTACTGCCATTGGTCCCCTCTATACCTATCTACTTCTTGGCTAAAAAGTGGGCCTCTAGGGTGATAACTATGTATTTTGGTAATCAGTCAAGGCAACTATCTTGGTTTTCATGTACTAGGGGCAAAGTCACATGCATTTTTATGTATGATTTCTTTTCTACAGTAACTTTTTTTTTTTTTTTTTTGAGGAAGAGTCAAGTCATTTATTTGTTATTTTTATGAAAGCAGGAAACGTGGGAGCGAGAGGGAGGACAGAAGGGAGCTATCTAGCTCCTCAGGTTTAAGATGTGAATCTGGGTCCCGACAGCAACAAGGCAATTGTAGGACCAGAAACATTTTATAAAAGCTCTGCTTTCTGCTGTCTTGCTCCAAGCTAAACAGGCTTAAGATTACACTGAAAGTAACACTGGAATTCTTTTTAAGAGCACAATTTTACATAGCAACTTTACTAAGAGAATTCTCAACATTTGGATTCCTTTCTTTAGATGTTTGTGACCAGAAAACTAGGGTTGTCCCTTCAAATCACTATCTGGTTCTTAGCAACTGGTCCCCAAGATGCCCTAGCTTTTTTTGTGTTTTGTTTTTTGAAGATGACCAAAGAAAGAATGAATGGTTATTATAAATGTCAGTCATTGATGCAAAATGTTCACTGGTAATTTGTGTTCTGAAAGAAAGAAACATACTGTAGATATGTTTTAGCCAACATTATTTTTAGGAAATTAGTAGACAATGTTGTTAATGGTCTAGCAGTACTCACCTGTGGCCATTTTGCCTTTTGTTGTTTCATGCCCTCCTAGGGTAGTTGTGGCTTCTACAAAACAATGAAACAATTTAAAGAGATGACTGGGAAAACTTTAGGAAGCAGGAAAATTATGCTGGTACTCCTTCAGAGAAATACCAGAGAAGTCATCTCAGCATGAGAACCTCTGATGAGGGGATCATCAATCAACTATTAATTTACCTGTTTTGGAATTTCCAGCAATAGTTGTGCCAGAGGACATCCCTGGGTTGTCTAAAAGGCAAACAAGAGTAGTTATAATGTGACTCAGTTTGTCTGAGAAGACTAAGACAAGGAAAAATGAAATTTTGTCTTAAATGTCCTTTCTATTTCAAAAGATATTTTTGCTGGATATTTGCAAATAATTATTGTATGAGTCTTCCCTTTCACCATTTCATTTCCGAAACAACTAGAGTGACAACTAGCAAGTATCTTCATTGATAGTGTGAGCAAAAAAAGCATCTATCCAAGGAATCTGTGGCCTTCTCAGTGGAAAAGGGAATCCTGAGTTAACGCACCAGACTGCAAAACCATTTGAACTGCAAGGTTGGTGGTTCAAGCTCACCATCTGCTCCTCAGAAACCCTATAGAGGGTCACTATGGGTAGGAATTGACTCGGTGGCACTTAACAACAATAGGGGAAAATAAAGAATGGTAAATACAGAAGTTTTGGGATACTGGACAAGACAGTGTACATTATTTCATAATGTACATATGGACTTGAGTTCATCTGAGATTAAAATAAGGATGTTTTTCTTATTAAACTATCTGTGTTGGGACTTCCCCATGTAATGGTAGTGTCTGAAAATACACCAGTGGCACCTGAGAAAGGAAAACTTACTATTAGCTCTATGATCAATCTTTAAATGTTTAATATGGCCTTGTACCCTTCCTAAACATCTCTTCCAAAGAGGAACACAGTGCTAGTTAGAATAACAATCCCTTTCCTAATGAAGGAACCAACATCATCCTTTCTACGAACTCTAAAATTTATCATTCACATATTAGGTCACTATAGAAAAGTAGCTCTGGTAGCCTAGTGGTTACGAATCGGGCTGCGAACCGCAAGGTCAGCAGTTCGAAACTACCAGCAGTTCCGGGGGAGAAAGATGAGGCGTTCTGCTCACGTAAAGATTAACAGCCTCGGAAACCCTGTGCAGGGTCGCTATGAGTCGGAACCGACTCCACGGCACTTAACAACAACACTAGAAAAGTATATTCTCTTCCTGACTTGTCAACTGTATTCGGGAAAGCAAGAAAACTGCTGAAACCTTCCCAAATAGAAATGTTCAGTTTTTAGTGAGTACTTATCATGGATCAGGACTTATTCTATGAAATTTGCATGTATAAATTACTGTGCTAACCTGTGAGGTGGATACTGTTATCCCCATTTTGCAGATGAGAAAGTTAATGGTACATTGCCTCCAAATCAAAAGTGACGGTCTTCTGAAACTTACTTGTTTGTGTTTCCACTTTAGTAGGTTCATTGCCTCTTGTGGAAGTTGTGGCTCCTGAAGGAGAAAATCAACACAGGTTGGAGATCTAGAAAAATTATATTATTTTTCTTTTTTCACTTATGGAACACCCCTACTTATTGACAAACCTGTGTTAGAACCTCCAGGTGCAACACTTGAACCAAAGGCTTCCTTATTGGTCCCTGAAATGAGAAAGAGAAAAGTCAGTCTCATCTGTCTCTACAGTCATAAAAACAATTCTATTGTTGTCCTGAAATGGTAGAAAGTTCTATATCAGCACTCATTTGCCAGAAGCAATTTAAACATAAATGAATAGTTTTTCCCATTTTGTTTCATTCCCACATAAAATGCAGTGGTATTGATTTTTCCCCCGAGGAAGTTTTTTCTAGGGCTCATGGGCAAGCAAAGGACTCTTCAACTCACCTGTTGTACTGACAATGACTTCACTCCCTTGTGCTTTCGTTATGTCTCCTAAAGAGGGAACATCAAGGAGAGTTTGGGGATGTTAGAATAAACAGTAGCAAGGCCACTTTGAATATCTCCAAAGGAAAATATACATTTAAATCTCCATGGTTCCTTGTCACTTTACTAATTTGGAAATAACTCCTAATAACCCCATTCTGGTAGTGTAGTGGTTACGAATCGGGCTGCAAACCACAAGGTCAGCAGTTCGAAACTACCACCTGCTCTGCGGGAGAAAGAGGAGGCTTTCTGCTCCTGTAAAGATTTATAGCCTCGGAAAGCCTGTACAGGGTCGCTATGGGTCGGAACCAACTAGACGGCACTTAACAACAACAACAACCCCATTTGATAATGTGGTACTACCGATAGTGCGAATTACGGAGGCATTTTAGGCATTAAAACCAATGATACCCAAATATGTTAGAATTTTTAAGTATGAAGACTCTGAGATCAGGACAACTCTTGAAAGTTATCCACATATTGATCTCAAAGTAAGCATAGCACTCTCTTTGTCCTTCCTTTACCCTCATCCTCATCCATGGAGTGAAATCAGTTGAGGAATTTAAGAGACTATGAAAGCCAGCATTTGCCAGTGCCCAGCTGTTTTTAGTTCAAGTCCAGTGGTTACACTGTTTCCTGTAGAAGTTGTGGCCTCTGACAGAAAAAAACAGAAAAGTGGTGTGTTTATGGGATTTAAAAACATTTTGAAAAGATCTATGAGTGCAAGTGCAGGTACCCCTAGAAGAAATCATTCACCACCTAAAGTGAGGTCAGCCCAGGATTGGGCAGTGTTTCGTTCTGCTGTGCATAGGGTCGCTATGAGTCAATATCGACTCGATGGCACCTAACAACAACAACAAGGTGCCTATACAAAGAAATTATTTCCTGTTAAGGAAGAAGTGTCAACATGCTATGCTGCTGCAGCCAGCATGACACAGGGTGCAGCTACAGCAGTCAGTAAGTTTGTCTCAAGGTTCCCTTCCTAGGAAGAAGTCAATCTTGTCCATGTGTCATTCCACACCTCACACAACTGCAGTAGCAAGTTTCTGGCTCATGGGGGTGCTTTTCTAAGGGTTCAATGAGAAATAATAGATAATGGATCTCAATCTTTACTACTCATCTGTTTTAATAATAGTGGATTGGCTCCCTGACCCATTGCTGGCTCCTAAGTGGATGGAAAAATGAGGAAAGTTCAAATGTGTTTGAACCTTATTCATCACTATTAATGTTAGAGAAAGAAAACCTGAATAGTATGATGGTGGAAAAGTCTAAAATATGACAATAAATTCATATTTTAATCAGAAAATATATAGATAAAGCCTACTTCCAACCAAATAGAATTCTTCCTATAGAAATAAAAGATTAAGACATGATTCTTAATCTCAAAAAGCATATCTTTTTTTTTTTTTTGAGTTAGTGACTCTAGCTGATACTGAAATTGTACCTAAAAAGGTAAATGTAAAAACATTTAGAGATAAAGACAATAACTTTCAACCATTTCATTCTGTGATTTGACCTATTTCTTTGCGCATCACTGTTAATTAGTCTAGGCTCCTGGATATATAATAAATTAAGATTAGAGAATAACACACAAAATTCAGTTTGGAAGAAATTATCTTTTCATACTGTTCTCACTCAGGTTGCCATTCAGAAACAAACATAAATGAGGATGTCAAGGAGTTCTGAACTACTTATTCTGACTTGTTTTTATTACATTTACAATGGTTTTGTTGCCTTCTGTAGAAGTTGTGGCCTCTGAGTGAGGAAAACGAGAAAGTGAGGCATTGAATGGTAGTGGGTGTGATCCTATACCCAGCCAAATTCTTCTTGATGAAATATGTATGTTCCTTACCAGTGTTTGCAATTTCAGGTACCATTGTTGAGCCTGAGGCTACTTGTGTTGTTCCTAAAATAAGAAAAGGGAAAAGGTGAGCTCAGCATTTCTTTTATAACATAAAAGAAAAGAGAGGAAAAGTCTAAAGATGGATTTGAAGCTTCTACCAGGGCTCTGGTTCCACAAACAGAGAAATTGTGCTCATTTTTTCCAGAACCATTCAGTCTCTAAAGAAATGCAAAGGCAAACTTCTGAACCCTGGTGGTGGCTGTGTGCCATGGAGTCGGTTCCGACTCATAGCGACTCTGTACAGGGTTTCCAAGGCTGTAAATCTTTATGGGAGCAGAACGCCTCATCTTTCTCCCACGGAGCAGCTAGTAGTTTCGAACTGCTGACCTTGCGGTTCACAGCCCGATTCATGACCACTATGCTACCAGAGCTTCTTTTTCTGAACCCTGGGGATACTGTTTTATAGGACTCAATAAAAATACATTCCTGTTTTGTTGCTAGGAATCTGTTTTCTAAGTTCTCCATTTATGGTTCCTGAGAAGAAGAAAATAGAGGAAGGTTCAAACGCTTTAGACTGCCAATACTCATTGCTTTACTACTGCTGTATCGTCGGATCATCCCCCTCACCTCTAAATTATAACACTGGACATTCTGCTTTTGCTGTTTTTCTTTTTTCTTGTTTTTTAGTGCATCTCTTCATCTTCCAATTTTAGGCCTCTGCCCTTTTTATTTGCTTTACATTAATTATGAGAAAGTGTCACTTTGGGAGAATGACTTGTAAAAAGATGACATTGAAAAAGAGAAGAGGTAGAATTTGCTGTTTAGAAATAGCACTTTCAGTAAAAGCCCCCTTCTCAGTATCTGTTTCTTGTTACGTGCCATCAAGTCTGCTCCAACTCATAGTGACCCTGTATAGAGGTTCCAAGGAGCAGTTAGTGAGTTTGAAGTGCCAACCTTAGAGTTAGCAGTCCAGTGCTTATCCTGTAGAGACAAATTAGGAAAAGATAAACGATACTCATGTTCTGGGCTGCCATTCAGCCACCATTTTCACGCCCAGTGGTAGCTGCATACAGGTATTCCGAGCTTCACTTGTTTTACTTAGCCTTGCTTTACATCCAGTGCCTTGTTCCAGTAATGAGCCCCGAAAAGAAGTGAAACAGGAATTCTCCTGTGTTTTTAAGAACATAGCCATCACTCTTATAATGAGATATTTTTATCTTTATTATGTTGGGAGAAATCCTACATAGCAAGTCAAATATATGAAATTTATCTGACTTGCCTTTGCTTATCTGGGCCATGGCTTGCTAGGTCACCAAACATAGTAGCCAGTATCTTTGTGGTACCAGGGATATTGTCAGGAAAAGGATGTCATCACACCAAAATAGGCATGTTGAGTATGTCTAACACTTCCCAATAACATTTTATTTAATATTCAGCTAAATCAGTGATGGAGAAATTCTTCTCATTCTAATTTCTCAATTTCCACAGAAAGTTTCTATTATGATCTTCTATGCTATACTTACTATTAACTAAATAAATATGTAAAACATAAACTTAGTTATTATATTCCTAAGGAGCTCTGGTAGTGTAGTGGTTACAAGTCAGGCTGCTAGTTCAAGGTCAGCAGTGTGAAACTAACTTCCAGCCAGCCATTCCGTGGGAGAAAGATGAGGCTTTCTGCTCCTATAAAGATTTACCCCCAGTGAGATGGATTGGCAAAGTGGCAGCATCAATGGGCTCAAGCGTGGGAACAATTGTGAGGTTGGCTCAAGATCGGGCAGTTTCATTCTGCTGTGCATAGGTCACTATGAGTCCGTACTGACTCGATGGCACCTAACAACAACAGCAAAGATTAACCGCCTCAGAAACTCTGTGTAGGGTCACTGTGTGTCACATGGCACACCACCAACACTACTACTACTATATTCCTAAAATTTTATTACCAACAAAGGTAAATAGATCCTGCCTTCCTTAGCTTGTTTTCTTGACCATATCTTAAGAAATTATAAAGAAGGTGCTTACTGACAAATGCCACTAAAAATAAAACAAAACAAAAACCAAACCCACTGTCATAGATTCTAGTGTGACTACAAGTGAACCTTTATAGAGTTGCTAAGACTACAGATCTTTAAGGGAACAGACGGCCTTTATCTTTCTCCTACAGAGCAGCAGGGGGGTTTGAACCTCCAACCATGCACTTGGTAGTGTGACATCACCACCAGGAATCTACAGATGCTACAGGAGAAAAGTACACGGAGAGCTGGGAAGTTCAATAAGGGCAACACGACTCCCAATGAACAGGATCAAGGAAGGCCTCAAGAAGGAGAGAACATTTGAACAGGGAGACACAGGAAGAGCCAAGGGTTAGAGAAACAAATCATTTCAATGTGCAGAAAATCTATCAAATATAGTATGCAGTAAGCAATAAAATAACTTCTTATTGCCTAGTTTGTCATTTTAATTTTTTTTAAATAAAGGGACTTCATCATGGTTGTTGCCATTGAGTCGGTTCCGACCCATAGCGACCTTATATAGGGTTTCCAAGGAGCAACTGGTGAGCTTGAACTGCCAACCTTGCAGTTCAAATGGTTTTGCAATCTGGAGCATTAATCCACAGTGCCGCCATGGTAGTTAGAAGCAAAATGTAAGGGAGGCATGGGGCTGACAAGTAGTTCAGCAAGGCTTAAAGCTGATGTGTGAAAGAGGATAACAGGAAATACATTTAGAAAGAAGCACTATAGAGGATTCAAATAATAAGAGTCAAGACTCCTGAATTTATCTGAAAGACAATGGATAGCTGTAGAGACAGAAATGACATGAACTGAAGTAATAATATAGGATCATCTTCTGCTATTTGGTATATAGAACACAGAGAAAAATGGAGATGAGAAACTTGCCTGCAGTAGACTAGACTCAAGGTTAGTGTGAGTGTGTGAACTCACTCAACTAAGCAAAATGTAGTGGAGTAGAAACAGCTCAGGTTTTAAAATTAAAGGAGCTCTGGTAGCGTAGTGGTTACGAATCGGGCTGCGAACCTTAAGGTCAGCGGTTCAAAACTACCAGCCGCTCCGCGGGAGAAAGATGAGGCTTTCTACTCCCGTAAGGATTTACACCCTCGGAAACCCTGTACAGGGTCGCTATGGGTCGGCTCCGACTCGAAGGCACTTAACAACAACAACAAAAGCAACAAATTAGGGCAAATAATGTCTGCATCATTCAAATGATGTGTGGCGCTGTGGGTTAATGTGCCTGACTGCAAAGCCGTTTGGAACTGCAAAGTCAGTGGTTCAAGCTCACCAGTCTCTCCTTGGAAACCCTATACAGGGTCTCTATGGGTCAGAACCTACTTGACGGTACTTAACAACAACTAAGCATAGAAAAAAGGAGCTCTGTTAGCATTGTGGTTATGAGTCGGGCTGCCAACCTCAAGGTCAGCAGTTCGAAACTACCAGCAGTTCCGCGGGAGAAAAATGAGGCGTTTTGCTCCCGTAAAGATTTATAGCCTTGGAACTCTGTGCAGGATCACTGTGAGTCAGAACCAACTCCATGGTACTTAACAACAAGAATAGAAAAAGCAAGAGGCCTGTTACCAAAATCTAATTAAAAGTTCAGTTAATCTGATAAATCAAAATATCTATTATTCTAAAAACTATACTACCATTTCTTCACCCCAACCCCCAAAACAGACATATTTTCTTACCTGGTATTTCTGGCTGTTTTGGTGGCACTGAAATATAAAGGCAAGTATATTTATAAATGTACATTTTAAATATGTCTCAATCCACAAAAATGAATTTATATTAGATTAGTTTTAGAAGAATTTCACAGTACTGCAGATTCTTTTCAGTACTCCAACAGAAAAGATAGAAATGCTATTTCAAGCTACATTGAACAGAAGCATATTTTTTTAGTTATTTCAATTTCAACTTACCTTCAACAAGTTCCGGTGGAATTTCATTATCTGGATCTAATAAAAGAAAGGTTAGATGTTTCAATTAAAGAACATACTTAAATTTTAAACATTATGTAACAGTTCTTCGATTGTCATTAGATGTAAAACTTGTATTAAAAAGCAAAACTATGTTATTTCCATAAAGGCTATCTTAGAAATTCAAGAAGGGTGAGAAAGCTTGTAGGAGAAAATCATAAAGTGCTTTTAAAACAAATTACCTTTGATTTACAAATGATCAAGATGAAATGAAAACCTTTGCCTTTTCCCCCATGTAAACTATTTA